GGGTTCGAAATCCTTATGTTTCCTCCAACACACATCCCCACTTTGAGGCCTTTGCATAGGCGGTTCCCTCTGTGCAGGCTTTTTCCAATGCCCTCCCTCTTCTCCTCCTCTCTTCCCCTCTTCTACCTGCTCCATCTGTTTATTCTGCATGATTCAGATCGAACTTGCATTTCTAGCTCTCCCAGACTGCCTAGATGTTGACCGCTTTTATAGTAGAGCAGTTACCAGACTTTTTCTGTAATCACTTCAACCCCTCTGCCTGCCCCTTCCCCCCACACCCCACCCAGGCTAACTCTAGCAGGCCAGCCACACAGCAGGCACTTGGTAGGAGCCTGCGGAATGCAGGGTGCCTTGCCAGCTTGGCTCCTGGCATAGACAGGCTCCCTGGCCTGGCCCTGACACTGCTCGGGGAGGACGGCTGAGCCCCAAAGTGGCTCTCCTGGGACAGGGAGAGGGCCTTTTCCTATCTTCCAGGAGGCGCTAATGCACTGACACAGGACAGTGGGGTCACCAGGGCCCGCAGTGTGGCCTGCACGTCTGTGGAGGTGAAGACGGGCTGGCGTCCATGTGCGCGGCAGCGCAGCCCGAGCGGCGTGGGGAGCCGTGAGACTTGCCCAGAGCCAGCCAAGGACAAGGGCACTCAAGGGCAGAGGAGACAGTGGCTCCGACTGGAGAGCCTGGGAGCCTTCCCAGGCCCCGTGGAGCCAGGCCCAGACCCAGGCGCTCCGCCTCTGCAGGTGGCTGTCTGCGGGAGAGAGCCGGAGGCCCCCAGTCTGAATCCAGGGGTCGAGGTGGACGAGACCTAGGGCAGTGGTCGGCAAACTCATCAGTCTACAGAGCCAAATATCAACAGTATGACGATTGAAATTTCTTTTGAGAGCCAAAATTTTTAAAACTTATACTATATAGGTAGGTACATTGTTATTAACGTAATTAGGGTACGTGGTATTTTATGGAAGAGCCACACTAAAGGGGTCAAAGAGCCGCAGTGTGCTGGCCACTGCCCTAGGGAAATGGCTGGCAGGGATGTGGCTCAAGACCTGTCTCCCACCCCCAGTCTCTTCCAGGAACGCCTGGCCAGGAGACCTGGGAAGGGTTAAAAATAGCAGATTAAACAGGGAAGCAATGCATTAAATTCACACATGACCCTCTACCCACGAAGGAGTTGTCACCGAGACTTTACAGGGTGGGAGGTGGGTGGAGTGACTTGCCCAAGGTCACCTTCCAGAAAGCAGCAGACCCAGGTGGCAGCAACTTGTGTGGGGCTTGGTCCTTAGTAGATGCTCAATAAATACAACGAAAGGGAGAGGGGATGAATACAATGACCCAGGTCTCCTGAGTCCCATCCTGATACTTACTATCTCCACACTTATCCACCTGGAACCGCTCGAAATCTGATTGGAATTTAGTCTGCAAAAAGATTAACCATTTATTTCCTGGAGGGAGCTCGTGGCTCTAACAACCCCCAAATCCTGAGAGTAGGTACTGTTTATCAGCTAAGATAGGATCTGGGAATACCTCTTACTACTAATAGTTGAACACAGCCTCATTTTGGAGTAGAAAAACTGCCTCTTACCAATATGAGAACAACAACAGTATTTACTCTTTGAATTTTTAAAATGTTCTAAAACCAATTAATGAAACAAAAACAAAAAAAGTACAAACCCTGCCAGCGTGTATTATTTGTTCTTTTCCTTATTTTTCTCCACCTCCCAAAAGACAGGGGGAAACCACAAGGCCGCGTTTCCCAGGTGTAGACAATCTGATGATATGTGAATTCAGGAAAAATAAATGGGCCACCCCTTACACATTACAGCCGTACCAAATGGTATTCCTTTTGAATGAACCTGATGGCTGCGGTGAGGCTTTCCTGCAGCAGAACAAAGACCAAAGCGGAATTCCCGCAGCATTCGCCCAAGGTCACTGTGAACATCAGTGGCAGCATTAGCATCAGACCTGGGAATCCCTGACTCTGGTCTTCCTGTCCCAGCTGCTTCCCCCCTAGGCAGGTAATTATATGTGTTAACTGTCACTGACACTCTGGCAAGTCCCAAGTTCCTGCATTTGTTAGACTGCCAAGCTGCCCCCACGTTTCTAGGGCTGTATATTTAGAAAAAAGGAGCTCAGCTCTGACTGACTCAGAACTAGGAGCCAGGCTGGCAGCTTGGAGGGTTGGGAGGGTTGAGAGACAAGGAGACTGTTTTTACCTCCATTTGCCAAGATCTCCATTCTAGACCTCACCTGCCTCACAGTAGCTGTGTGACCAGAACAAGCTCCACAGCCCCAAGGAGCCTCAGCTTCCCTATCTGTAAAATGGGGAAATACCATGAAGACAGCGCAAGGCTCAGAGTAAGAAGGGAACTTGAATGCACAAGATTTCTTTGACCCTGTAACCTGCAAAATGAAGACAGTAATTCCTACTTCACATCGCATCAGATGAGACTGGGAAATATATGTACAGATGTATCTATATGTTGTCTAGATCTAGACTAAAAAAATAGGTACCGGTACTCTTGAAAAAGACCTGAATTCTTCCTTTCACGTGCTGTTGAATGGAACTTGGAAGTTTATACTTACTATTTTATAGGAAAGCTAGTGAAATACTATGTTTTAGCTTTCTCTTTGAAAACAATCTCTGAACTTAAAAATTGAGCTGGAACAATCAAGTAGTACAATTTCTACACAAAAATTATTCTCTGGAGACAAATGAGTCAAGAATTGAGAGAGAAATGACCAAAAATAGCCTAGAGGCTCACATGGGACTGACTTCTTTGTCTCCCCGCTCTGAGTGCTTCCATACCACCTGCCAGGAGATCACCTCCACCCCTGTCCCCGGACCCCCGCGCTGAGGCTTCACACTGGACAATACTTAAACTGACCTCCTTGGTGCTGCCGTCAGAATGACACACCTGAGCAGTAGACATGCAGCAGAAGCTCCACGTGGGAGGAGGGACTGGGAGATGAACCCTGACGCTCCTGTGCAGCATGAGGACTTATGATAAGGATTAGAAGCATCTGGAAGAGTGTGATTAGTGTCCTCCAAGGGGGCTGAGTGAAGGTCCAGGAGAGGACCAGGAACATGGGTGCTATCTCTGGATGTCTGGGTTTGAAATACGGCTCCAAACTCTGCCACTTAACATCTGTGTGCTGTCGGGAGAGCTACCTCATTTTGCTGGGCCTTGATTTCTTCCTCTGTAAAATGGAAGCACTATTTTTTTTTTTTTTTAAAATAATCACACTGGTTGTTTAGGAGGATCAGCTGAGAAAGCATTAAAGCCTTTACAGATATAAAGCAACGCCTGTGTTTGAGCCTCCATTACCAGGTCAGGGACACAGATTTGGGGCAGTGCTAGCAAACAATAAAGCCCAGGTCGGGAGTAATTACCCCCTTCTCACATTGTCTGTAGATGCTTCATGTTCACGACCCCACTTCGCGCTGGCACCAGACTCCGAGGGGAGCTGCCATTATTAGTCCATGTATGGGGTGGGGAAGCTAAGGTCCAGAGAGGCTAATTAGCTTGCCTAAGGTTGCATAGCTAGTTAGCCACGGCAGTGGGATTTGGACCCAGGCAATGGGACTCTGGAGTCCAGGCTCCTAACCGTTAAGCCAGTGGCATCTCCATGAGCCACCAGATCTCATCCCTGCCACCTCCACTCCCTGACCTGCAAAATGGGAAGATCACACCCACCTCAGGAGGCTGCGTTGGGGATTGATGGACACAAGTAACAAACACAAATCTCTTGTTGCAATGGATAAATGCACATAGTACCGTAGGGGCTCAGTAAGTGACTGCTTCCTAGCCGTTCCCCAAGACCTGCTGTGATTTCAGGGGACAAGGTGTAAGGAATGGGGGCACAGCCAGAAACTGCCTAGAGACAGACACCTGAGAAGAATACAACTCAGGGGTTATAAATAGGAATCCGGGTGTCTGGACTGCCTAAACACCTATCCCGGCTCCACTACTTACTAGTCCTGTGACCTCGGGTGTGTTACTTCACGTAGCTGTGCCCGAGATCCTTTATCTGTAAAGTGGGCATAATGGCACCCACCTTGCAGGGTTTGGGTAATAGTGGATGTTAATTATCTGTGCAAAGCACTTAGCACAATGTCCAGCATATGGTACACATTCAATAGACACTAGCAGTGATGACTTGGGTCAGCACCCTGCATGTTCTGGGGGGCTCAGGGGCACCCTGGGCCTTCGTGGGCTGTATGTTTTATGCTGCGCACCCTCCATCTCCTTGCAGACCCCAACCCAGCCCTGAGAGGGCGGAAATCTCTATTGCCTGGCGGCACCACCACAGGCCAGCTGAACTGCAGGGGAGGGGCAGTCTCTCCTGGGAGGGGCAGCGGGGATTTGAAAATGGTGACAAGGGCCACCTGGCCAAGAACATGGGGAGTCAGGAAAGTGCACCCTCCCCTCCCCCTGTTACTGTGATTTTTGCATTTGGAACCACGCTTTGCCTGGGCTGAGTGAGTTGTGTTATTTCGTCTGCTCCGGACCAAAACGAGGTCCCATAAATAATCTCCATGCACGTCAAAAAGCAGAGGTGTGCTCTTGCCCAGCTAGGAACCGCCCTCTGCAAGGTTTTTGCTAGAAAACTACAGAAAGGACACAATTTGCTTCTTGTGGAGAGAGGGACCGAGGGGGGAGGCAGGGAGAGAGAACAGGAAGAATAGAGAGAGAACAGGTGGCATTCAGGCACACAGAATCTGGTTAACTGAAGAACCAGAGCGTTCCCACAAAGCCTTGCTCCACTCCCCTCCATCCCTGGAACCAACTCGCTTCTGGTTAATCCCAGGCACCGGGCCAGGCTGGGAGCCTGAAATCCTAATGAGAGACAATCTGCTCGCCCAGGGAGCGCGCAGCGGGCTTCGGATCGGAAGAGAGGCTGCTGTGAGCCCGGTCTCTGCTGAGAGCCTGCGGTCTCCCCGCCCTGGGATGCGGGGACGCGAGGATGCGAGGATGCGGGGATGCAGGGATGCAGGGATGCTCTACCTGAGCTGGCGCGGCTCGCAGTCCACGCCGGGCAGCAGCAGCCGGGCCGCCTGGCGGACGTCGTCGCTGTCCATGGAGAAGCTGCGCCGGTGGCCGGCGTGCGCCACGGCCACCCGGATCCACTCCATCAGCGGCGGCAGCACGAGGAACGGCCTGCGGGGGGCGGAGGGGGGCGAGAAGGGTTAGCCGGGGGCGCGGGCTCCGCTCCACCCCCTGCCCCCGCACCCCGCTTTCCCCGGGAGGCCGTGCCTCCGAATGCGGCTGGAGAAGGGGGACAGCCTTCGGAGACATCCCGAGCGCTCTGGGGACTCCGGGGCGGGCTCTCCCGGGTCCGTGGGCCTCAGTTTCCTCATCTGTAAGCCCGGGAAAGGATAACGGTATGGGACGATTCTGGGAGTGTTATCTTCCCCGGAGATCATGTGAACCTAAGGGAGATGACTCATTGAAAGCCCCAAGCACAGGCTCTGGGGCTTAGTAGACCCCCCCCCCCCCCTATCCCCTACCCGCTACCCCGCGCCCCGCCAGCCCCCCATGCCCGGGAGGGGGGTGGTGGTGGGGGTGGTGGTGGTGGTGGTGGGGCGGTTATAGGGGGTTATGGGTACTTGGGGCTCCCTGTTCTGGGCCCAGTGTTAAGGTGTCCCTTCCCATCCCCAGCTGGCTCCCTGTCTTCCCTCCTCCGGGCCCTCCCCAGGCCTCAGCTCTGCCCGAACCCCAGGCAGCCAATGGCTCTTAGCACCTGGGAAAGGCGCAGAGAGCCAAGTCAGCAGGCAGCCGCCAGCCCCGCCAGCAGAGCGAGGGCCGGAGAGCGGGGCGGGGCTTGGCCGCATCCCCAGCAGCTCCGGGCTCCCCACCTGCTAATGGGATCGCGGCGGGGCGGCCAGCTGATTGCAAGAATTAGCCCAAGCAATGCCCTCGGCTGAACTGTGATTTCCTAAGGGGAGTGCATTTGTGCCTTCTTCCTGTTTCTTCCTCTGATTATTTATTATCCGCTGCTCTCACGTGAGGATTTCTGGGGAGGGGTGGCAGAGCTTTTGGAAGATGAGGATACCCTGAGTTCTGTCGCAGGGACACTTGATTTTTTTTTTTAATCCTCACCTATGGATATGTATTTATTATTTTTAATTTTAGAGAGAGGGAGGGGGAGAGAGAGAGGAAGAGGAAAAGAGAAACATCGATGTGAGAAACATCGATTGGTTGCCTCCTGTAGGGCCCCTACCTTGGATCGACCCCACAACCTAGAAGCATGCCGCGACCTGAGAATCCAACCTGCAACCTATGGGTGTACCGGAGGACACTCCAACCAACAGAGACCCCCGGCTGGGGTGGGGCTCTGATTTAATGGATGATTTTTAAAACCTCCCCCATGTGAATTGAATGCGCATCCAACTTATCTGGAGGGTTTGTTAAAATACAGACTGCCGGGCCCCGCCCCTAGAGTGTTGGATTCAGCAGGTCAGGAGAGATGGCCAATAATGTGCGTTTCTAACGAGTCCCCGGATGCTGCTGCTGCTGCTGGGCTGGAGGGACTTCTGCTCTGAAGTGACCATAGAGGGTTTGGGAATCACCTGTTGAGTGAGTGTGTGTGTAAAAATGCACATCGCTGGCCTTATCTCCAGAGATGTTAACTGTGTCAGGCCCAGGAATATAACTTTAATAAGCAGGCTCTGTGATACTGACCAAGGACTCCACTGTGAGGAACACATTGTGTAAATCCGGAAGGTATCTTACCACTCAGCGGGGCTTGGGGTAGGGTGAGGCAATTGAGGCGAAATTCAAGGTGGCCAGGTCATGCAAATGTGTTCTCGGTGCCTCTCTTGCCTCATCCCAGCCCCAGTGCCACCACTCAGGCCATCATGATTGCCATAGGAGCGAGGGGGTGGTAAACAGAAGGGTGTGCAAGCAGCAGATCCCTCACTGCATGCAGATGCTGTGAGCTTCCCACCCAGTTTTTGGCAGTGGATTCCAGTGTTTCTGGAGTCCAGGCCTAGTTATCCAATGTCGATAATATTAAATAGCTAAGCCTTTTATTTTATTATTATTTTTCAAAAATATATTTTATTGATTTTTTACAGAGAGAAAGAGAGAGGGATAGAGAGTTAGAAACATCGACAAGAATCATAGATCAGCTGCCTCTTACACACCCCTTGCTGGGGATGTGCCGGCAACCAAGGTACATGCCCTTGACAGGAATCGAACCTGGGACCTTTCAGTCCGCAGGTCGACGCTCTATCCACTGAGCCAAACTGGTTTTGGCAAACAGCTAAGCCTTTTAAAGAAAACTTTCATGATCTCATCTAAATGCTTAGGACCAACTTGTGAGCTAGTTATGATTTTGCCCATTTTCTGGATTAGGAGAATGGAGTTTATTGAGGCTAAGTAGCACACCCTGGATCAGAAGGTTAGCAAGTATGGCAGAGCTGGGAGTCAGACCCACGTCATCTGACTGCACAGCCCACATGCCATAACCCCACGTGATACCGACATTCTTTGGCCCAACTTCCCAGCACACACTGTTACCCAGCATCCACCTGTTCCCCAGGGCAGCTGATCTGGCCATGGACCCCTCCCCTGCTGGCATGCCATGCTCAGTCCTGTCCATGCAGCTCAGACCCCTGTATGATAGGCCTCCATCCCTTTCAGAGTGTTCACTCCACTTAGCCTTCAAAACACAGTTCAGCTGAAACTGGTTTGGCTCAGTGGATAGAGCGTCGGCCTGCGGACTCAAGGGTACCGGGTTCGATTCCGGTCAAGGGCATGTACCTTGGTTGTGGGGCACATCCCCAGTGGGGGGTGTGCAGGAGGCAGCTGATCGATGTTTCTCTCTCATCTATGTTTCTAACTCTCTATCCCTCTCTCATCCTCTCTGTAAAAAAATCAATAAAAGCAAACAAACAAAAAACAAAAAACACAGTTCAAATCCCACCTCTCCCTCTACATTTTTCCTGGTGACTTCGTGGCCCCCGGCCCCCTGCCAGGGTAGACACCACTGCTCAGGCCTGACCCCATGGCCTTGCAGATGCTCCATTAGAACGGAAACTCCACGTGGCAGGGACCAGGGCTGCTCCGTTCACCAATGCAGCCCCAAGTCAGTGCCTGGCAGGCCACAGCCCTTCATAAATATTTGTTCATGATCCAGACTAAGATTTGCCCACTTTTTTCCTGGGTGAAGTGGATAAAAAAAATCGAGTTTCTGAACCCAGGGACCTGTGGGGGCAGATTCCTAGGCTATTTCTGCCTGGATTGGCCTGCGGCGTAGGCTGTCGCCCTCATCCTCTCATTCTCTCCATCACCTAAACTGAATCAGGCGCTCAATAAACACACTCCGAATTGAAATTGAATTGGAGTCTACTGTCTTAGGTGAGCAGGACTTATTTTTGGCACCGTGTCTCCATCACTGCTGAAACCAGCCCTGTGTGCTCAGAGAGAACTCCCCTGGGTTGTTCTGCAGAGGCAGCAATCCCCTCTCTTCCCCACTCCCGACACCTCCCGCCCCTGCCTTTCCTCTGTTTCCCCTGAAGCGCAGCCCACAAATCCCAGTCCCTGGGGCTGGGACTCCATCCCAGACTCCCCTTGGCTGCTGACTTTCATGTGAGATGCTGAGCCAGGCAGGCAGCCGAGTCCTGCTGAGTGCCTAAGAGGAGAAAAAGGCTGTGCTGCCCTCAGAGCCACGCCTTGGCCAGCACCAGGGTCAGTACCCTGGGTCCCGAGGACCCCAGCCTCTCCTGGGATTTTCTATGTACCTAGGCCCGCCTTCCCACACTGCCTTCTCTCAATAGCGTAGCAGCTCCCGAAGTCTTTGCCAGCAACTCATTTAAAAGTCTTCTTCTCTGGCCTACACAGAGGGGGAGAAACAGCATGGCTTGTGATGCTTCTTTGGGAAGGAGCTAGAGATGGGAAAGAATTCCAGGGCCCTGAGTTGAGCGGGTGAAGAATGCTGAGGGCACCCTGACCGGTTTGGCTCAGTGGATAGAGCGTCGGCCTGCGACCTGAAGGCCGACGCTCTATCCACTAGATTGAATTGCGTTGGGGGTGTGCAGGAGGCAGCTGATCGATGTTTCCCTCTCAGTGATGTTTCTAACTCTCTATCCCTCTCCCTTCCTCTCTGTAAAAAAAATCAATAAAAGAAAACATATATTTTAAAAAAGAATGTTGAGGGGGGAAAAGACTGCATTCTCCATAGAGGTTCTGTAAGAGAACATTGTCCCACTGGCTATAGACTTTGCTCTGAAGTTGTCTGGAGTGACGAAGCCTAGAGGAGGGCATGGGTTACTGAAGTGGTTCTTTAGTTGTTTTAATGCCAGAATCATGGGGAGTGTGTGAAAACCTCCAAGGCCTGTTTTCACCCCCAGAGTTTTGGCTCAGCAGGTCTGGGGGCCTGGGCATCTGCATTCTAAACAAGCTGCTCTGGGAATTCTGGAGCAAGCCAGGTTGAGCATCCACCTGTGGCCAGGTGGCCTGGGGTGCGTAAGATACACATGCAGTGCTATGGTGTTCAAAGGGAAGGTCTGTGGGGTGGGACCAGAGGCTCTAGAGCAGTGTTTCCCAAAATTCTATAATTTTCATAATGCTGAGTACCCCTCATACTCATGAGAATGTAGAATTAGGCGCAGCTAAGCATGGTGCAGTGCATATCCCCACCAAACTCCGGTGCAATGCATACACCCACCAAACTCTTCCCGTACCCCTGGGGGTACGCATACCACACTTTGGGAAACACTGCTCCAGAGGGAAGGAGAAGCCTAGAGGGCTTCATGCAGGGCCAAGAGAACAACTTCTCCCAGGAAGGTCATTGGGCCCAGGTGCAAGTAGGAGACTGGGAGCATGCGCAGTGGGGCCTTTCTGAAGCATGAGGACAGAGCGGTGCTGAGGGTGCCCGTCTCTGGGTGGGGAGGGCTGGGTGCTGAGGAGGAGGGTCTAATCTGTGGGAGAAGCTGGAAGTGGGATTCTGTAGAACTGAATTCCAGTCCTGCTCCTGGACTCACAGAGGGATTCTGGCTCAGGTCTGTAAATGCTTGTCTCTCAGTGACTACATCTGTAAAATGGGTAGATTTGGGCCAGAGGGTCTGTTTCAGGGGTTGGCAGACCTTTTCTGTAGAAGGCCAGACAGTCAATATGTTGGGATTATGGGCCATACTGTCTCTGTTGCAATGACT